ACTATTTGAAATTCCCATCTTCCAGACCTAAAATTTTACATCTGGATACATAAATGTTTTCATCTTTAAAAAAGTACAGAAAGATATCTGGTTCCATGGAAAACTAAAATGTTGCAACAGAAAGTTTTGTTTCATTATTAAAATTAAAGTCAAGTCAATATATAACTACAAATGTCATGTAGATATAAACATTTTTTTAAGTATCCGAATCGTAACAAAAAATAATTCTCTATAACTTGATTCGGTATGTGCTGTAAAAATGTAAAAGATATTTTGTTGCTTATTTTTAAAATGCGGTCAATATCATACTTCGATTTTTTTTGTTTTTCCTTGCCAGGGAAGTAGTCACGTTCTCGTCAAATCGGTAAACTGGCATTAAATATTAAAAAAGTACCCGCACCAACGAATTGCTGTTTTGTGATTTTATACAAATACCAAAAAGAGAGTGTTTGATCAATAACATGATGTACTTACAAATAGGTCAGTGCTTGATCCAATAAACAGATAATAGGGAAAATAAACGTGAAACAAAAACACGCTCTGGATATATACGAACTAATATAAATATATTATAAGCAGAGCTGCGTAGAAGATGGTAAAATTCAATTGTCATGCACATTGAACGTATCAGACCTGACACGCGATATTTGAGGGAACAAACTGTTCTTCTTCGGCTCAATTTTGTATACCTAGTGTCGCTATACTTTATTTTATGCCGAAAAGTAGTATATATAGATTATAAGAAACTTTGGACGTTGAAAGAGAAAAGCTCGGGGAAACGTTTCTAAAAGCGTAGGGGCCGTTATAATTATATATGTTCTTGACCGCAGGACAAAAATGTGGGTGCGTTGGGAGAATTTTCTGTACAATATTTATAACATTTGTTACTGTATTTACAACCAAGTGGGTGCTGGCACTTTTTCTTAATTTTACTCATGCTTCTGATTTAAAGCTTAGAAAATTTTTGCGGCCTGACAGCTGATGCAGGAAGATACATAAATATTCGAATTGATTGATTGAGGCGCTTTGCTGACAAAAATTTTAGCTAACCGACACGTAAAAACTTATTTAAAAATTATTTTGTTTATTAAAATAATAACTATAAGCATATACATTAATGTATGAAAAACATTGTCACATAGTATTGACTGCTGAGAATAGTATAAAAAAAAAATCTCATTAGAAGCTACGTTTACTTTATAGTGCAAATCTGTACATAATTATATTAGTTTCCTTGTAACATATGTACCTATACTTTTTATTAGGATCTGATAGTATAGAAGCACGAACTTTTTTTCCAAATAACATCACCGACTTTCTAAACTTGAAACTCATAAAAGATAAATTGGATTTATTCTTGAGTATATAAGTCTAGAGTTTTAACTGATTATTACTTTTTGAAAATAAGTAACGTTCTTAAAAAAAAAAAGAAATTTTACTTGTACTGTGTCATTTTTAAGATGCACTGTAAGTACAAATAATACTAATCGGATAAGAGGTAGTATTTACTTACTCTACGATGTTTTTGAAAATAAAAAAATAATAGTATAAAACAAACTACTATTCACGTTTTATAAAATCAAACTAACGATCATATTATTTTGTGCATGCAGCGATAATTAAACATTAAATTTCTAAAACGCATGAAAAACACAAAAGTCATGCTACTTATCAAATTTTTTAAATTTCTAAATTACACGTTGAATCGAGAATCTGTGATATAAAGCGTAAAAAATATATGATGTACAATTAACAAAAAAGTTATAATACAATATCAAGCACTAATTACACATAAATTGGTCAGAACAACTTATAAAATATATGGTTTATATTATTTAGTGGACTAGGAATGATCAGTATTTGCTTAATATAGTACTCGCGATTGTTTAATGAGATTAGTACGCTAAAAATACATAAAATATTTAAAAATTAGAAACACAAACAAATAAAAATGTAACCAATGAACTGCTGTGCATAAATCAGTAAATTACTTGATAAGTAACGTTAGATAGTAACAAATTGTTTGCGTAGCTAAAAAATTTAAATAGTTAAATATTTCAAAATTTAAATATATATATCCAGTAGATGACAACAGCACCA